ATCTACCCGTTTCCTCGGTTTCAATATAGACTCTCATCCTAAACGCATAAAGGTACCTGAAGACAAAATCACTAAGATTCTCAACCTCATTCAAGACACAAAATCCAACAACTCTTGCAAAATTATAGCAAAACTCGCAGGTAAGCGAGCATCACTTTCAAGAACCTTCATCCCCACCCTTTTATATCTCTCTTCACTTTACGAGACCATCTCCTCGTCTAACTGGGATTCTCCCGTGACGATTTCCTCCGACCTTATTAACGACCTTCTCTGGTGGATTATTCACTTACCGCACCTCCCTGGAAGAATCTAGACCGTCCGCCCCCCAACACTTACTATTTTTACTGATGCTTCCGCTCCCCAAATCGGTGCTATCATTCACCCCTCCAACTCGAAATCCCTCTCACTAAATCAATGTCTTCCCCCTTACCTTCTCCAATCCTCCTGCACACACAGAGAATTGTTCGCAATTCTTGAAACCTTTCGCTTCCTTGCCACTTCTCATCCTCACCTCGTACCCTCCGCATCTATCAGACTTCACACCGATAGCCAAACCGCTTTGACTTTTCTTTCCAGAATAAAATCCACAAATCACGTTTTCAACCCATGGCTAAGAGACATAGCCTTATTTCTCATCTCCTTTGACACAATTCTCTACCCAATTTGGATACCTAGATCCCTTAATACATATGCTGATCTATTATCTAAAATAAATGATAATACAGATTGGGGCCTCACTAACCACATCAAGAGTTCGTCTCTAGATTAAGAGTATCAATTATAGATCTTTTTGCCTCAGATTTCCACGATGTATGCCCCACCTTTATCTCAAGGGATTGGTCAGTCAATGCTTCCCTAATAGACGCACTGTCTCTAGATTGGAACTCCCTCCGTTCTCACCCTTACAAATATGTCTTTCCCCCTGCCGTGCTCCTCCATCACGTACTCTCTAAAATCATTGTCAGCCCTTCTCCTTACCTTCTTATCTTACCCACATCCAAAAGAGTCTCCTGGTATGCCCGTATTCTCGATCTTAATATTGTCGACCGTTTCACCATTCCCCCCTCCTCCTTCTCCTTCCTCCCCAGCCCTCGCGTCAGCAGCCTCGTCCCCAATTCCGGAGTTCGTGGCCTGACGACAATCTTCATCCTCCCTTAACTGCCCTTCACTTCTTCATTTCCATCCCCGCTTCATCCCATATCCATAGCGCATAAACGTCCCCACCTAACTCCAGGTACACTCTCGCATCATCTCTTCCAAACTCCATCCTTCCTAAATTCCCGCTTGAACCCCTCTTATTCGAAAGCTATGACCACTCTCCCCCTTAAATACCCTAGCCGCTTCAAACCACTTTTCTATTCGTTTAACCTCCTCCACTCATTGGTCCGTCTCCACGCACCAGCCCGAACACATAACCACTCCGCAAATCCTGCCTCACCCGCTCATAACTCGCCATCATCTCAGACAACCAACCCAAGAAGGTTTCCTCCTCACTCTTTGGATTCCGCAACCTTATCATAAACCTTCCGCTTTGCCGATCAGTCTTAGTATACCCAGGTCGCACCATCCCACTCTCAACGTCAATCTCTTTGTACTGTAGTCTCAACCCTTCCCCATATCGCTGCCAACTTTCCCACAAATACAAGAACGCTCTCTCATCGCGATAAGCCTATGCCTCTGTGTATCCCTTCATAATTTTTATTTTCTGTCGTATATGCCTTATTACTACTCTCAATTTTTTCCATTGCATTGGCCGCGCCGACTCCTTAATTACACCTCTCTGTAAACTATACTCCCGATATGATTTCTTAAACACCTTCACCCTACTACTCTGATATGGATCATTTTCCCCCTCCCTACCTAGCGGACGAAAGCATCCACTCAAGCAGTTCACCACGACATCAACGGTGGAAGGCGACACCATCGGAAGCCCCTCTGCATCAGAAGTACGGCGTCGACTCTCGATTTCAACAAGCCACTGACCGCTTAAAAGGACAAGATATCAAGGTCGCAACAAGTCATGCAACTTCTTTCAACTTCATTCCGTTCAAGCCATTCATTCAAGGCAAGCAACATCTTCTTCATTCCACTCTTCCATCGCCTCTCGGCTCCAAACTCACTGGTCATGGCACTACTCCACTCAAGCCCAACTGTATGTTCCTTCAACTGTGGGAGTCGCTCGCTTCTGCCTCCAACCACCATCACTCATTCGCTCGTTCCACCATTCCCTGCAAGACGACGCAGTCACTTGCGGGACGATGGAGGGATGTGGGTAGGCTTAGGAGGTGTGCGGGTCTGCGACCCACCTTTTTGACTCACTCCTATGAGATCTGGCATCATCTTCGTCTTCATTTTTTTTTGTTTTATTTGGAAGAGTCTTGGGAAGCATCGTGCCAAGTCAAGAAAGGACTAAGAATACAAGGGGTCCCAACAACCGCTTCAGCACCAACCGTACGATTATTCCGGTTGGTCCTCAGATCGGCACTGGTTCTGGGTATCTGAACCAGCCGCGATCGCGTCCATGCATTTTCAATATCTATGGCCCTACAAGACTTTTGTTTCAGACATCGGATCACGATTCACAGGACAACCACTCAAGATCTACGGAGCCCCATCTCTAGATCTAAGGAGTCCCATCCGGAGACGTGACACTCACCCAGGTTGAAGAACGGCCTCGCCAACCCGAGTTCGCAGCCCGTCAGGGATGCGTTTCCCCCCCCTGAGACATTCAACGTTCAACGTCAGTTTCAACGTCGGTGGTCGCCGGGAGGGTGGGCATTTGAGGTTTTGGGGCCTTGCAAGGGTCAGGAACGCGTAGGACCGGTAGCTGCGAGCAGGAGGCCGAGGAGGCCGCAGTCCTTTTTCGAAATTGAAACGGTGCGGGTAGTTCTTTTTCAAAATTGAAACGGTGCAGGTCCTACACGTTGTATTCGAATACAATCTGTACCCTTTCTATTTGGATTTCGAAAAGAAAAACCTCTTGTATTCCGATAAAATTACTTCTTCTTTTTGTTGGAGGTCAGCGCCTGCCCTTGTGCTCCCCGCCACTGACATGCTGCATGTTGCAGCTTTCTCTCTCTCTCTCTATATATATATATATATCTCACACACACACACACAAACTCTCACACACAAACACGCACACACACACACACACACGCACGCGCACTCTCTCTCTCTCTCTCTCTCTCTCTCTCTCTATATATATATATATATATATATATCACACACACACACA